CACACTGTATCTTCCACCTGACTGAACTCAAACCATGAGCAGTCTTTGTGTGCTGCCGTGAATACGCATCACTTTTTTATGATCAATTGTTTGGCAAAGAGGCGGCTGTTTGTCTTTCACCCAGCAGCTTGACGGGGTGGAAATAATTCAGTTATTCCACTCATGCTCACTTACAGCTCATACAGGGCAGGAAGGGATCTGTTGCAGGGTTTGTAAATATTGTTGCAGTCTGTCAGTCATGAAGTCGAGAGCAATGCTGAACTACAGGTTCTGTCCACTGACCCGGAGACAGACTGTGCATCCAACAGGCATCAACTCCAGAGAGGGGGGAGAAGTACTCAGATCCTGTACTTGAGTAAAAGTAGAAGTACTCAGATCCTGTCCTTGAGTAAAAGTAGAAGTACTCAGATCTTGTACTTGAGTAAAAGTAGAAGTACTCAGGTCTTGTACTTGAGTAAAAGTAGAAGTACTCAGATCCTCTCCTTGAGTAAAAGTAGAAGTACTCAGGTCTTGTACTTGAGTAAAAGTAGAAGTACTCAGATCTTGTACTTGAGTAAAAGAAGAAGTACTCAGATCTTGTACTTGAGTAAAAGAAGAAGTACTCAGATCTTGTACTTGAGTAAAAGAAGAAGTACTCAGATCTTGTACTTGAGTAGAAGTAGAAGTACTCAGATCTTGTACTTGAGTAAAAGTAGAAGTACTCAGGTATATAGGAATACTCTGTTACAGTAAAAGTCCTGCATTCAAAATGTTACTCAAGTAAAAGTAGAAAAGTATTAGCATCAAAATATAGTGAAAGTAGCGACAGTAATAGTCATTGTGCAGATTGGTCCATTTCAGAATAATATATATGATATGTTTTATAATGATTGATCATTAAAGTGTTCTCAAAGCTGGTAAAGCTGCAGCTAGTTTGAATGACTTTGTATACTGCAGGGTAGCTTGTGAATTTACTCCAGGTGGAACTAAAGTGTGATTTAACACTTGATTATACTTCACATCATTCATCCAGATCTGTAAAGTAACTAAAGGTATTAATACATGTAGTGGAGTCAAAGTACACCATTGACCTCTGAACTGTAGTGGAGTAGAAGTACACAGTAGCACAACATGTAAATACTCAAGTAAAGTACAGGTACCTCAAGATTGTACTTAAGTACAGTACTTAATGTACTTAGCTACTTTACACCACTGCAACTCATAAATTCAATCTTTAAAATAATGTGTTAACAAATGATGCCTTAAGCTATTTTTGAAAAACAGACATGTTTAAATTGTTTGCAGTCTCATTCCATAGCAGTATTTATTAAATCCTGACACACAAGCATTGATAATAACATGGCTTTACGCTCGTAGTGTTTTTTGTTTGTTCCAAGCAGCCTCTCCTGGATCTGGTGAAGGTTTGGGGGGTAAATGGTTATTTTAAGATTCCTATAGGTTCCTGGCTTCCTGTAGGTATCGCTAGGGTCAGCATCACAATATATCTGTTGCTCTTGGGGACAAAAGAGGAAGGGACCGATGAGTAATGGCTCCTCCTTCAGGGTGTCTGTGCAGTAGATGAGAGGGGGGATATAAGATGAAAAACCGACGACATCTGAGGGAAGAAGCTGCTCATCAAGACAGATCTCAGTGAAGGATTGGGAGCACGAGGAGCTGTCAGGAAGATGGAGGAGCTGGTCTGGTGTTGCCTAACATCTCAGAGGATTACACACCTCAGGCCAAACTCTCACCTCCTGATTCCTGGGAATTCCCCTCCTGTTATCCTCCTCAATCTTTTCACTCTCCCTCTCTTCACTTGCCTCCTTGTTTATCTCTGTCATCCTTCCCTATACCTTCTTCTCTCCTCTGTCTGCTTATTCTTTAATTACATCGAGGCTGGTGGGAAGCTTCCCAATATTTGAGACATTAGGATTTTATGATTTGAGTATTCTTTTGTTGGTCAGGTCTCTACTGACACACTGTGTCCTACATACTCAATTATTAATTAAGTGTACTGCACATACAGTACGTCTGACAGTCCAGGAACATTGTTGACATGAAAGTGGTTATTATAAATATGTATAAACTAATATGAATGCATTTGTATATATAAAATAATCCTACTTCAGGAGAGTGATGACAACTGCCTGTCTGCCAGGGAGAACTATAGCTATGCTAATGCTAGCTTGGATTTGCTAGTAAGGCGGTTGCCGTAATTGTGATTACTTTGGTGATCCTGTGACTTTTCATCGACTACCATCATCAGGTCGAAACTTAATGGTAAACATCTGAATGTTAGCATCGTCACTGTGAGCATGAAATTAAAGGTCCCATGTCATGGCCATTTCTACTGATCATAATTCCATTGTTGAGGTCTACTAAAATAAATGTATATTGTGCAATTTTCCAAACTCACATTGGTTTCTCATACAGCATCTCTGTATAGTATGTGTATTCACTCTCTGTCCTAAACGGCTTGTTGGAGCTCCTGCCCCCCCCCCACCTCCCTGTGAGCCCAGTGGCCGTCTGCGAGACAGCGAGACACATCAAAACCCAGCCCGAAACACACACCCGCAGCCTGGCTGGGAGTTTGTGTGTGTGCCCAGGCTGAGTTCCGCGGTGTCTCGCTGTCTCGCCGACCCCACACCAGTGAGCCAGCTCACAGTGTCCCGCTCCTCGCAGCAGCGAGCCTCGCAACGTCCCGCCGAGTGTGTGTGTGTGAGGAAGTCCGCGGATTGGTCCAAACGTAACGGCTCCGCGGACGTAACGTAACGGCTCCGCGGATTGGTTCTTTTGAACCAATCTGCGGAGCCGTTACGTTTCGTCACTATACCCGAAATACGTCACTATACCCAAGAAGTAAACAATGGAAAAAGAGAAATGTCCAACGAGGCGTTCTGGGGCAGCATAGACAGGTCTTTTCTGTGTTAGAGTTTTACTCGCTACAGGGTGTACTTTGAGGGTTTGTGACTCTGCAGACCGTTTGCATGCAGAAAAACCTTCATAACACACAAGGGGACGGGTAATAACCAGAAAAGCATGACATGGGACCTTTAAAGTATTTTTGCTTTAAACTTATTGTATGTATAAACAATCAGTCCAGTGAACATTTCCCTGCAAGATTCACAGCTTCTATTTTACAAAAAAAGGCAAGAATTCAAGTGAAAGATTTGTTTTATTTTAAATTTCAACACTTTTGGTAAGTCTGCAAATGTAAAAATCACTCTGTCCAGATGATCTCAATTTAAAAATAAATAGCAAAGCATCAGTCATTCACACACTCATTAAGCAACACAAATACCATGATAAATAGCATAAATCAAATACTCAACTAATTACATACATGTTCGTTTTTCGGACTTTACAATTGGATCATATTGTCTTTTTAAATATAGTCTTTTTATTTTATGTATACCAGCATGTTTGTGAGAAATAAATAAATCACTGTCCATCCCAACATGCAAAACTGGATGCTTCTTCAGAACCGTAACTACATTTAAAACATTATTTACATTCAGGAACAGAAAGCAATCACTTTTTGCAGCAGTACAGTTTGGCGTTTGGCTTAAATAACATATTACCAAAACTATATTTACTTTATCGTTGCATTAAAAACAACATTATTAATGCACCTGTTGAACTGTGTTACGCACTCAGAAGCCTGAAGCGTAGTGTTCCTGTCACAGAGACTTGAACTTTTGTCCCACTTTTCATACGACTAATAAACACTTTCATTGTGATATCAGTACAAATATTGGCAGCTGAATGTACCACTTCAAACCATGTGCAGAGTGGAAAAAACAAGATATGGTGTTGGATGCAGGGCCCTTTTTATTCCTATCAAAGTTGCTCAGTGGCGCATTAAACCAAAATGTCAAAACATTGCCATTAAACCATTGGGATCCTGGCCTATAAAGCATGCACACTTCAGTCCGTTGGTCTCGGCTCAATCAAACAAATGGAAAGGGAAAATAACTCTGAATTCAGCATTTAGCGCATTCTACAATCTTAAGGACCCCCTTTAAATAAGAGCTATTGAAGTGTTCATACTGGGTAGTTGATTTAGCTAAGAAATAAATAAAACGCTGGTTTACAGACGTCTCTTTCCCAATGTAAGTCAATGGAAAATAGTCTTTTTGGTCCCAATAGCCGCTTTCACACTATGTACTTTGGCGTACTTAGTTCCCAGCACTTAGTTCCCAGCACTTAGTTCCCCCATGGAACTAAAGAGCAGATCGCGTTCACACCGGAATAAGTTCCCTGAGGGAAGATTACGCAAATGAAGCCGCTGACGTCACTTCTTCTTCTTCTGCTTTGGGTTTACTGGCAGGCCGCAAACAACTTCACGGCGTATACTGCCACCCGAAGTCCCCGGCCGGAAGTCCCCGGAGTTGGGGACTGGCTTCAGTAGAAGCTGCTGGGACTCCCAGCAGCTTCTACTGAAGCCTTCCGAGTAAATCGCCAGAATGCCGACACCTCCTCATCTCCACCGCTCCAATGTTTTTTTTTGTGTTGCCATAAGTTAGTCTCTCTGCGTTGGTGCGCGGGGCTAATGCTAATGCTAATAATGCTAATGCCAGCAAATACAATGGCGGCTTCACAAAACTTTTCAGAGTTTTACGGGGCGTGGTTTGCAATTCGCCCAGCCAATCGAAATTGGTACTTTTTTCTCCCCAGGAAAGTACCACCTCTCTAGCAGGCACTAAAAATGGGGGTAAAAGTTCTCGGAACTAAGTTCTCTTTTTGGTGTGAACGCAAAATTCCAGGCACTAACAGAATTAAACGGGAAAAGTACGGGTAAAAGTACTCCGGTGTGAAAGCGCCTCTTGACGTCACGGACTGACATGGAAGTTGTAGTACCACCGATTGGCCACAACAAAATTAAACTCTCTTCCTAGGGGTTTGATGCAAGTCAAATTTCTCCTTTTCCCTTTTGCTGGTGGAGGTCCTTCAGGTATATTTGGTGGATTCTGACCTGTAGTCATATTTCCTTGCTTCCTGCACCATTATATGCTCACTCTTCATGACCTGGGATGTGTCGTTGTGGATTGAGTGGTGCCAGCGGTGATGTCGGGGCCACATGAGGCAAAGTAGGAGTTCTGCATGGAGTACAGACGGTCGATGGGGTTTCCCGCCCGACTCTGCAAGGAGCCGACATCTGGAGCGGCCATGAAACAGTCGCTTAGACTCGTGAGAGAAGTGTCACTGTCAAAGTCATGGAAGATGGAGTCAGTGCCTGGGAAGAGCAGAGGAGACAAAGAGAAGTCAAAGAGATGGATATGAATGTATTTAATACACTTAGGTTAGGGTTTACTCCATTACTGAGGGTATCTGTAACGAGCAGACAGAAGTTAACACAGCTATACAGTATATTTACATGTATGTGACGTGTGCAGATGCAAGTAAAGGTCACAGTCATTTGTACAAACAGTGCAGATTATCCCTTGATTGTGCAGCCTGATGGCTACAGGCACAAATCATTGTCCGAGGTGCTTAGTGCTGCATTGAGGAAGGAAAGAGAATTCATATCACAGGCAAAAATAAAACGACACACACTCATGCGCAGTCATTACCGTAGGGGTTCATGTGGTCACCAGGCATCTGAGGCGGTGTGAGGCCCTGCTGGAAGGGTTCAGAGTATCTGCTGGGATCCATCCCCAGCTGCTGGGTGAGAGGGAGATGTCCTGAATACGAGCTGAGCAGACCCTCCATCGACATCCCATCTGTAACACAGGGAGCAGGGTTATAACTCTCAGACGCAGGGGTCTCACTACAAAAACTCAAAATCTTGCCATTTGTCTAATATCTAGTCAGAATATGTCTTTACACTTTCTATAAGACATAATAACTTCAGAAGTAACAATGCAGTAATATATAGGGTCTTGTTTTTAGACAATACATCATCTTGTTAAGTCCAAAATCTTATTTTGAGTTGTATCTCAGATGAAACTTGTTTTTTTCTCACATATTTATTGGAAAATCACCAACTAACATCAGAAAACAGAAACATTTTGAGCACTGATTCTGGTCAAATATAGTTCAAAATGAGTTATCCCAGCTTATTACAAGATCTGATTTATCTAAATATCCCTTCTTATTTCAAGAAATCTTACCAAGCTAATTTTCACTTGTTCTATTGGCAGATGTATTTACTTATTTCAAGTGAAAACACCTTGTTTTCATTATTTTTTCAACTTGTTTTTGGAGCAGCATTTTTTCCAGTGCACATAGGACATGAACACATCAAGGTTAGTTTATTTGTATAACACATTTTAAGACACAGAGGCAATTCAAAGTGCTTCACATAGGCCTAAAAAAAACTAAAACAAACACACAAACAAAAACCTCGTCTTCCTATACTTGTGAGCAGAGGTGGGAGAAGTACTCAGATATTGTACTTGAATATGTGTACTTAATGTACATTTGGTTATGCTAACATTATAATATGCTGAACATCTGAGTTTTAGCATTGTCACTGTGAGCATGAAATTAAAGTATGCTTTAAACTTCTTGCAGGTACAAACATCAGACCAGTTGGATTTTCCTCAGAGGTGGAAGAAGTACTCAGATCGTGTTCTTGAGTTAAAGTAGAAGTACTCAGATCTTGTAATTGATTAAAAGTAGAAGTACCAGAGTGTAGGAATATTCTGTTACAAGTAAAAGTCCTGCAATCAAAATGTTACTGAAGAAAAAGTGCAAAAGTATTAACGACGCAACGTAACTATAGTTCTGAACACAGACACTAAAACCATGCATTTATGTTCATACTGTGTATATAAGCTGTACAACAAAAGGGTTTTCTTATGGAAGCATATATTGTAAATGCATTGTCTAAACTGATTGACTGGCCTTGGTGATTTTGAAGATGTCATCCAGGAGGCTTCCTCTCAAGCTAACATCAATCTCAAACAACCCCCATGTGCTGGTTTGCTCAGCTCATTTGTTTAACAACAGCAGCTTCCACTGTAATAAAGCCCGCTGCTCTGCCAATATTGACATGCTGGAAGTCCCTGAACAGATAGAGGCAGCGCCTGCCAAAACACTGGGACACTTATCTAAACTGTGTGCAGCTCATATAGCTGAGAGACCACAGTGGCAATAAGCCTCCAGCCATGAGGGTCTGAGCTGCAGAAGGACTCATGTCTGCAGAACTCTTTATAGCATGGGACTCATCGTGAAGCTTGATAAACTGAGCGACTCTACTCTGTTTATTGCTCCCATAATACATTTAATATTTCAAGCTGTTTCTCCAAATAATTGATTAATTACAGAGTTCTCACTAATCGCTATCATCACAATTATAATGGAAAGATTACATGTTGCAGAGAGACATCACGAGTGCTTTTGACTTTAATAACATCAGAGCAGCAGCTCACACACACACACACACACACACACACACACACACACACACACACACACACGCACACACACACGCACACACACACGATAGTTCCTTACCTTGGCCTACCCTCTGGCTGTTGTGTTGCTCGTTTTGCTGCTGTTGTCTGCGGGCTAACTTCTTCATCTGTGAATACGTAAACACAGAACAAAGCTTTTATTAAGGAGACACTGACTGAACACATGTGGAGGAACTTATTAGTCACCAACCTATAAATTATAAATTATATATTCATATTCAAAATGTCTAATTACCAACAAAGGTCTTAGGTTTTTATCATGTGACATAATCGCCATTGAAGCCAAATGTGCACCTAAGATCATTAGCATATCACATTTACCATATACATTGTCATTATCTTAGAGAGCAGAAACAGTCACTTCAAGAAGTCTTGGGGATATTATGGGGTGTATTCATTTGACCATCGCAATAATTATATGGACAATTGAGTAGATACAAAGGCGTGAAGCCAAAATAATCAATAAGCCATAAATGTTTGTGAATTACAAATGAGTTGTCATATCCATTTGTTGCCGCTTCTCAAAACGTTCTACGACAAACTCTTAGAGCTATATTTATGTCACTTGTTATTTAGGTAAATACATTTTTCGAAAGTAACTGTTTATGAACTTAAGTCTGTCTTTTGACTTGATGTCTTCACTGATATCTACTTGTGTTGTGCTTCTGAGAATTTCATTTCCTTGCTTAAAATAAATTCCCCTGGCTCTGGGTGGTTGACTTTTTGTGTTAAAAAATTATAATAATTGTAAAGCAATGATCATTACAACACAAACCATCTGTATCGAGCATTTCAGCAATGATTTTGGGGATATTGGATATATTTTGGCTTGAGTAAACAAGCCATGTAATGCTTATATATTGCTAATGGACTGCAGTGTAAAGCCTGATGGATATTCACACTTAGACGAGCTTATTCTCCCAAATGCCACCAAGCCGAGCAAATAGTAGATTATGCAAGTTTGATCCACTGAAGCTTAACTGATGTGGAAGTGGTTTTAGAGAATTAAGCACTTTTGGCCAAAGAAAGGAGAGTGACGCTCCATTTTCACATGTGATCTGAATGATGACATCACTTCTGCCTGCCTGTGTGAAAGTGTCCGGTATTCAGGAGGCCATGTTGGTGCTTCTCAGGTCGAGGGAAACGACGTGGGAGACCAGGAAATGTTTGCTAGGATCACAATGTGAGAGTTGACGTCTTGTTGTTACTGACCTTTGCTCTCTGGTTCTGGAACCAGACCTGGACCACACGGACAGTGAGTCCTGTCTCTGCAGCCAGGGTCTCTCTCACCTGAAAGCCCAGCACAGACACACTCATCAGCTTCGTATTCACACTGACAGCATTACTAGTGTACGGCATATGTCCTAAATGTCTGAAAGGCCTTCATTTGATATAAAGAGGACATATTATGCCCACTTTCAGGTGTATATCAGTATGTAGTGTCTCTACTTTAAAGAGTCCTCTCCTGCTGATGTTCAGGTGTATATCAGTATGTAGTGTCTCTACTTTAAAGAGTCCTCTCCTGCTGATGTTCAGGTGTATATCAGTATGTAGTGTCTCTACTTTAAAGAGTCCTCTCCTGCTGATGTTCAGGTGTATATCAGTATGTAGTGTCTCTACTTTAAAGAGTCCTCTCCTGCTGATGTTCAGGTGTATATCAGTATGTAGTGTCTCTACTTTAAAGAGTCCTCTCCTGCTGATGTTCAGGTGTATATCAGTATGTAGTGTCTCTACTTTAAAGAGTCCTCTCCTGCTGATGTTCAGGTGTATATCAGTATGTAGTGTCTCTACTTTAAAGAGTCCTCTCCTGCTGATGTTCAGGTGTATATCAGTATGTAGTGTCTCTACTTTAAAGAGTCCTCTCCTGCTGATGTTCAGGTGTATATCAGTATGTAGTGTCTCTACTTTAAAGAGTCCTCTCCTGCTGATGTTCAGGTTCATATCAGTATGTAGTGTCTCTACTTTAAAGAGTCCTCTCCTGCTGATGTTCAGGTGTATATCAGTATGTAGTGTCTCTACTTTAAAGAGTCCTCTCCTGTTGATGTTCAGGTGTATATCAGTATGTAGTGTCTCTACTTTAAAGAGTCCTCTCCTGCTGATGTTCAGGTGTATATCAGTATGTAGTGTCTCTACTTTAAAGAGTCCTCTCCTGCTGATGTTCAGGTGTATATCAGTATGTAGTGTCTCTACTTTAAAGAGTCCTCTCCTGCTGATGTTCAGGTGAATATCAGTATGTAGTGTCTCTACTTTAAAGAGTCCTCTCCTGCTGATGTTCAGGTGTATATCAGTATGTAGTGTCTCTACTTTAAAGAGTCCTCTCCTGCTGATGTTCAGGTGTATATCAGTATGTAGTGTCTCTACTTTAAAGAGTCCTCTCCTGCTGATGTTCAGGTTCATATCAGTATGTAGTATCTCTACTTTAATTGTAGCCTTTACAGACCATTTACATGCACTAAAACCAATATAACACACTACAGGAATGGGAAATCGCCCCCAAAAAACCATAAAAGGGTCCCTTTTTTTCTGGTTAAACGTAGAAAAGTTACTGATTAAGGGGAATAAGTAATCATTCATTCATTAAAATAGCATTTGTTTTGTCAGAAATGACCCAGATATGATGGGTTATAGTACGGCTTGTTATGCCCGCCACAGTAATGATTTGTCAAGATTACATAATGACACTCCTTTCCTTTATAGGTCTATTTAATGTATGAAAAAACACCTAGTTTATAGCTTAAGAATGCTGTTCTTTACCTCAGTCAAATATCTCACTGTACTCTGTGTGCTCACCTTCCTGCAGGGTTTGGAGGACACATCGAAGGAGGCTTTGAACGCTCTCCTCTGCACGGTGTTGAGGACGGTGCGCGGACGTTTGGGCCGACGAGGGTCTTTGTCATCTCTGCGTTTCCCTGCTGAACGACACTCTGAGGGTACATTCAGATCCTCATCCTCACTCTTATCTGTCACAAAGATGAGATAAGAAGTACGTTATTGATCATTGAGCATAAAAAGACAAGGCATTGAACAATAACAATTAAAAGACTAGAAATAAACAAGAAAGTAGAAAATATACATGTTGAGTTACAAATGTACGGTAACAAAATGTAAAGCAAGTTATTATATATACATAAGTATGTGAGGCATGGAATATTAAATATTAAATTGAATATAAATGTAAACAAATATAAAAGAAAGACAAGAAAATCACATCTGGTTTCTGCAGATTGTACCTGACTGCAGTTCTGTGTTTCACTAAGTAATTCATATGATGTTGGTGTTGCATTGGTTTGTAACCGCCTACGATGTTTCCCCATATGCAGAGATGTCAAAAGTACACACATCCTTTACTCAAGTAGAAGTACAGATACTCGTGTTTAAAAATACTCTGGTGAAAGTAGAAGTACTGACTAAACTTCTTTACTCAAGTCAAAGTAAAGAGGGCTTTGAAATGTACTTCAGTAAAAAGTACCCATAACTAGCAGCTGTTTTAAAGAGTACCTGACCTCCCTTTATATTAATAGAACAATAATGTCATTGTTAGCTAATGAATGTTTCCATGCTGAACAACGGCAACATGACAACGTTTTCATTGGTCCCTCTTCTTTAGAGAAGACCAGGAAATGATGGATACACGGATCGTGTTCAAATCAATAGGCACGCAATGACTCTAAATAATAATGATCACGCCACCAAACACACATTCAAACTAAAGGAACCAGCCTGTTTGGGAAATGTAAGAAGTAGAAAGTATAGGTATTTGTGTTCAACATGTAAGAAGTAGAAAGTACAGGTATTTGTGTTCAAAATGTAAGAAGTAGAAAGTACAGGTATTTGGGTTCAAAATGTAAGAAGTAGAAAGTACAGGTATTTGTGTTCAACATGTAAGAAGTAGAAAGTACAGGTATTTGTATTCAAAATGTAAGAAGTAGAAAGTACAGGTATTTGAGTTCAAAATGTAAGAAGTAGAAAGTACAGGTATTTGGGTTCAACATGTAAGAAGTAAAAAGTACAGGTATTTGTATTCAAAATGTAAGAAGTAGAAAGTACAGGTATTTGAGTTCAAAATGTAAGAAGTAGAAAGTACAGGTGTTTGTGTTCAAAATGTAAGAAGTAGAAAGTACAGGTGTTTGTGTTCAAAATGTAAGAAGTAGAAAGTACAGGTATTTGTGTTCAAAATGTAAGAAGTAGAAAGTACAGGTATTTGGGTTCAACATGTAAGAAGTAGAAAGTACAGGTATTTGTGTTCAACATGTAAGAAGTAGAAAGTACAGGTGTTTGTGTTCAAAATGTAAGAAGTAGAAAGTACAGGTGTTTGTGTTCAAAATGTAAGAAGTAGAAAGTACAGGTATTTGTGTTCAAAATGTAAGAAGTAGAAAGTACAGGTATTTGTGTTCAAAATGTAAGAAGTAGAAAGTACAGGTATTTGTGTTCAAAATGTAAGAAGTAGAAAGTACAGGTATTTGTGTTCAAAATGTAAGAAGTAGAAAGTACAGGTATTTGTGTTCAAAATGTAAGAAGTCAAAGTAAAAAGTCATCAGAAAAATAAGTAGTGGAGTAAAGTACTGATACCAGAAAAATGTACTTAAGTACAGTAACGAAGTATTTGTACTCCACTACTTCCCACCTCTGCCCATATGTTACCTGAGTCCGAGGTGTGTGGACTGACTGTAATGAGACGCTCTCTCTCGTAGTCGTCTTTGCACAGCAGCTGATTGTCTCTCAGGACAAACTCGTCTCCTTTGCTCAGCTGACGCTCACAGACGCAGCAGCAGAAGCAGCTGAGGTGGAAAACGCTGTCCAGAGCTCGCATCACGAACGCTGAGGGAGAAATGCTCTCCAGACAACCGCTGCACTTACTGGAAAACAACCTGAGGACACACAGGGGAGAGAGGAGGGGGAACAATAAGAATCAGAAGTCCTTTATATGTCCCACAGCGGGGACTGTTTACAGTGTTACAGCAAACGTTGAATTAAGTTTTAAAGGTCCCCTATTATACTGTTTTTCATCAATATATAATAGGTCTCAGATATTTACAAAACATGTCTCTGAAGTGTTTGGCTCCAAACACCAAACAGATCATTGCAGCATCCCATAATCCCCTCTGTTTCAGCCCTGTTTCCAAAGTGCTGATTCTCTGTCTGTTACTTTAGATGAAAATAAGGAGCCCCTCCCCACGCCCCTCTGAGAGAGATTTGGTTACAAAGAACACAATGGTGCTCTAGGAGGAGATTCAGGTGATAAGGTGGGGGGGGGGGGGGTACCTTGGTTGGTGATTGGCTAATGGTTACACAAGACAAAACATCGTTATGACATCATAACGTGGCCAAAATCTGATCAGCTCATTTTCAGACAGGTTTTTATATAAATGGATCAGGAGAAAAAGAGAGAATCTTTTTGTTGATGTAGAAGAGACATGAAGAAGTGGATTTTGCATAATAGGTGACCTTTAAGACATTTATATCGTCATCATAGCACCGTACAACTGCAGATAATGTTTTTATTGCACATTGCAGCAACAAGAGATGTGTGCCGAAAAGTGTTCAAGAACAACATCATATCATTTCAACTGAACGTGATTGAGTGTGTCACTTACACCCCTCTTTGCAGACTTACAGGGACCTTAATTAAACAGCCCCAACAAATGCAAGTTTGGTCTACGTAACATGCTAAATGCTAACGTGCTCATATTGCATTTTCGGGGGTAAATTCTGCATTCACTGAGGAATGTTACCTACAGTTAGGCGTGTGACAATAATCCCAATGAGACTGGTTATAGTGGGACCGACAGGCTGATGGATGGTTTTATTAAGGCTTTACCCCAAGCCTGCATTAATTACATTCATACATTCTTCATTCATAATAGGCATAGGTTACTGCTGTGTGATTGCAACAGTCTTTTCCCATTAACGGGCCTTCAAACTTCAATACTGGAGGTATAATTTAACATCCAGGAAGGATTACCCTGAGACATCAGTGGATTGGTACATCTTCATCAGAAATGAAACACTTACAGCGCTGTGTAGGACTTGCAGGATGTCCTCTGACAGACATTGTATGGATGAATTTGTGTAAATGCTGTAATCTTTACACATCTCAACCACAAAACAAGACAAGATGCCAGGGGAAAGGATGCTAATTTGTACCCTTTTTGAGCTGTCTTTGTGTGTGAAAGACCTTTTAAGCGTGCCTCAAAGATAGACGGCTCCGAACAGCTTCATAAAGAGGCAACGTGTACTCTTTAAAAAGCAGGTGGATGCTGTGAGACGAGGGAATATTACCAAACTAATATCCGTTCCACTTCCACCATATTCAAGATGCCTCACTTATTTCCCCATTTACCAAAGAAGCCATCAAATGAGTCTCAGCTTGGTCATAACAATCTGCTGCATTAAAGCACAATTAGGAGCGCATGGCTATAAGAGCTTATTAAAATTTCACTGGCTCCACACGTTGAAATCTTGGCAGAGAACAAACCGTCACCACTGCTGTTTTATTCTCTCATTATTCAGTAAGCAGCGCAGTCACACTGAGGGTTGAATCTGTGAAAAGCTAAAGGATGGAGGGAGGAAGGAGGTCACTTTAAGGCAGGTAGCCTACAGAGGAGGAGGAGGAGGGGTGCAGCTGTCCAAACACTGAATGGGACGACCCTCCTCCATTCAGCTTTTTCTCCTTGCTGCAACTCCCTCTTTTTCATTTACACAATAACACTATAGGCCAGCATTGCAGACAGAGACGTTGTTGTACTGTATAGTTGCTGTTGATGACATTTGAGCATCTGCTTGGACCATGTTAGTGTTGAAACTGGTCAATGCTGTCATTAGTGTTGCCTGTTCTTCCTCAGATCATAGACTAAGCTAGCGGCATCTTACACGTTGGTTCTGTTGCGCCTTGTCCCATTTTGACAGCTTTTCCCAGTGGAAGAGTTGGCTTTATTCCTGAAAACCTAGCCTCAGTCCTCCTAGGCGTCACTCCGCCAAAAACCAAGTTAAATGTGAGCGATGGGGAAATCAAACAAGGCTCATGCGGATAATAATCCCTCAAGAAGAAGATCAACGTGATCAGAATTGAAGCATCCATCATCCATCAGCTGTTCTTCTGAAAGCTCTCAATGTCTTTCCTCTGCCTATAGAGAGGCGAAGTCCCTCCCTTTCCGGGGGACCTCCATGGGACCTTATTTCGGAAAAAGTATGTATTGAAGTCAATGGGGAGAGAAAGATTATCTTTTGATCCCGTTTGAATTGTGCCACGAATTACACACATGATGTTTGTCAATTTAAAAGATAATTTTGCAAGTCAAAAAAATAAAAATGTGTCGTAAAACTGTGAAGTAACACTTTTTTTTGTGTGAAACGCTCAATGAACTACATCTCCCGTCTCGCACCACACACCAAGACGGCCGTCACGTTGGCACATTTCACTTCTTTCTTTCAGAATGAGGCGGAAAGTATTAAAAGAGGTGAAAATCACTCCAAGTCTGGGCATGTTGAGAGCTGTACATACACACAAGGGGAGTTAGTCGGTTCCTAAGAGCCAGCATGCGGGACCGGGACTCTGGGATTTGTAGTCTTTCTAGTTGCGTATTTTTCATAGTCTTATATTTCAACAGTTTTACGACAAACTGTGACTTTTTTGACATGGAAATGATTTTTTAAGATTGACAAACATCATATGTGTAATTCGTGGCACAATTCAAACGGGATCGAGAGATAATCTTTCTCTCTCCATTGACTTCAATACATACTTTTTCCGAAATAAGGTCCCATGGGTCGGAAGTATATGGGCGGGACTTCGCCTCTCTATAGTTCAAGAAAGGTTAGCGACTCCAGATTGTAAACACATGTGCTTTGGATACATTTAAAGTGCTTTAGAGACAGTATCTGTGAAGTGTATTTGCAAAGAAACACCTTCAGAATACTAAACAATGTGTTGAAGTCGCCCGAGCACAGCATGAACACAACGACTGAACCACAGTCCTCTTTATCATTCTGTTCTGATATACGGATCAAAAAGCTGGAAAATGAGATTGACCTCTCCATAACTCTGAGTTTCTTTTGGCATACCAACGACCACTCACTTGGTCCAATCAAGAAAGCATGGACACCATTGTTATGAGAAGGTGGTGGAGAAGGATTGGACACATAATGTGAAGAAAATCAGGTTCACAAGAAAGATAAGATAATGTTGTGTCTGTATGTATTCTGTCTGTCATTTCCTGTTTTATTTTGTATACCTCTTGTCTTTCATTGCAGGCCCTGTTTTCTTCCTCCCCCTGTGTGTTTTTCCCGCCATCATTAGTGTATGCCCTGATTGTTTCCACCTGTTCCCACTCACCTCATGTTTAAATAGTCCTGTCTCTCCCCTGTCCTGTGTCAGTTCGTCTTGTTTGTTTCCCCGAATGGTCGTGCCAAGCCTCAGCTCAGAAAGGATCGCTTTCTCTCATGTCAGGTTTTGTTATTTTGTTTATTTTGTTGGCTTGAGTTTTTATTAAGTCTTCTCCTTGTTATGCTAGTTTTTTCCTCCTTGTGAGTGCCTTTTGTTATTTCCACCACCTACTCTGTTAAAAGGGATTATCTGCACTGTGATAATAAATATACTTTTTTTATATATTCAAGACTTTGTCTCTGGGTCGTGGATTTGGGTTCATCAGTTTGTGTCGAGGTCCTGACAGATAAGATGAGATGGACCTTTACTAATCCCTGTGGGGAAATTCAGTAGTTTAACAGCAACAGGGTGAGAATGAAAAAGAGGACATCACAGATTAGAAATGAATACAATTCAAGATAAAATCAAAGATATAAATACAATTATATACAGTTAAAGGTGGGGTAGGTCATTTTGGAGAAACCGGCTCGAGATCGCTAGAATTTGAAAATACACAGCCGGAAAAAATCTGCCACTTCCTCACAGAGCCCCTCCTCCAACACACACAAACGTGCACATGACCAATGAGGGCACGAGATAAGTTTGTGCACAGATGGAAGGCTGACAGGCAGGTAGGCCATCCAGTTATTTTAGCCGGGCCGGCTCAGATGATTGGTCGTGCTTTTTACAGTACTACGGCTTCCACAGATGACATTTTTTTATGGATTTTTTGTCAAAGCACTTCAGATATTCATTGCTATCGGGATGTTAAGAGCATTCCATGGAATATAACAAAAAGTGTATCTCGAGCCGGTTTCTCAAACTTACCTACCCCACCTTTAAGTAACTTTAAAATAAGAAATGAATTAAAATGAACATATATACATATTTGGGTCACAAGAAGTGAACTGCATTGGGCACCAGAAGGCAGGTGTAAGAGGTGAAGACTCAAGGACACCTGGCCCTGAGGCAGACCTGAAGGAAGAGGGCCATACAAAGGTCCTCTCTAAACATAAAGCAGTGGAGATCCTTTGTTGCTGTCCTGCATGCCAGTAGACTTTAAGTGCATTTACAAAGGAGCATCTTGACACTTAAAGTGCACATTTGAGTGTTTTCAGTGCAGAGTTGTGCAGCCTTTAATGTGAGGGAAGGTTTGTTCCAGCAGAGGATTCTTAGAGAGTCCTTCGCACTTCATTTCACGAGGACCTGGACCACCAGTGCTATAGAGGAGGCCCCCTTTTTGGAGGAGCCTCCTTGACCCCCTGGCCCTGTGCCCTATGATTTCACTCTGCTCCAGAGGCTTAACACGCATAAAGAGGTGCAGGATTAAGGAGGATAAGAGGAGTGGAGAAAGGATGAAGCAGTAAAAACAGACTGTGTGTGTTCCTTCACTGTTCCCTTGTTTGCTCCCCCTCCTCAGGGAGCGGGGTGACCTAAAGGAGGAGGCTGGTGGGTGGCGGGAGGCTTCGGGTGGCAGCTTGTTGGAGTTTTAATTAGTAGGCGGTA